GGAATGAAAAATACACCATGCTTTTCCAGTTCGCAAAGAAAGTACATTGGATCAAATTGCCAAGAGCTAATCTGAACACACAGCTTCAGCAGTGAATTCAGTTAAAGCTGGAAGAAAAGAACCTGGTTCACAGAAGAACAACATGAAGTAAATCTATCAGGACCAGTATGCAGTTATTTTCCACTCCACGCTAGTTACCTTTGTACAGAGGGACGAGTATGTTCTGAGTTTTTTATCTTAAGAATGTTTGGCTTCAAGTTTAGACCTGATTATTATGATTGTCACGTTTTTATGTGCTGCTGATTAATACTCACCATACAACAACCATGTTCCAGTATGGAAGAAGACTGCTTTTCTAGAGCAAGAAGGAACTAATGACTAGAGTATCACTTCTAGATACAGTTTATCACTTTAAATTGTTACATAGAAATTAGTTCAGATGTGCCAAGAGGAATGCTCAGGTTAAAGGAATATTCTACTTGGCTCTGATTTTAACTATACGCACGTCAAATACTGCAGTCCTAGCTGTTCTTCAAGTCTCTTCTCAAATATATGATTTCAACATCACAGAGAAATAACAGAGAAGAATAAAATGATTTTATGAAGTTTAGCTTATAATTAGTTGTGCATCTGATCCGGCATTCTCTCTGTTAGTGTTAAAATAATGTAACCTAGAAGTAACCCTGACCTTATGCATTACTACAACCTTGCAAATCTTGATGAGCTATCACAGCAATCTATTGGGATGTCCAAGAGAGAATACAGTAATATACTTTCAACACTTAACTGCACAGGAACAAGTACTGCAGGATAAATAGACTAACTAGGACCCACTGCAATTGTCTCTCACAAAATGTTAGGAAACATCAACACATACAATGCTCACACAATGATCAGTGTGAGATGTCACTAAGGTGACTAGTGTAACTCGCTGCCTTTGATTATAAGAAGTCTTGGTAACATTAAGACAGTTCCTCCCAAAGTCCTATTACTTCTGCTATAGTCTCTGTAGTAAATGTAATTTGTTCACATCCTAGATGTGTACTTGGGATTTTTCCTTCCCTGCTTGGTCTACTAGACAGACTCTTATTAGCCTGCAAACTGCAGCGGACATAGATATTTTACTTCATACTGATATTTTAAACATGAAAATAAGATACGCACGCAGCTGTGGCTTCTGACATGCAAACTTCCTGGCACTGTCCAGCAATACTTACTGAAGTTCCTTACTGCATTTTTTAATTTTTATGAAAGCAATCACTCTTGGAGAAGCCAACAGATCTTTTGTTTGGGTTTTGTTTGTTTGTTTGGTTGGGTTTTTTTTGTGACACAGCATGATTTGGCACACACTTTACTTTTAGTAATCTCAAAAACATTATCATACGAAGTACCTTATCCACTTGAACACTAGCATGTTTATCATCACTGAGTGATGATTCCTTCAAAGCTCAAAGAGGCCTCATAATCATGAGAAGGTCACTGTAAGCATCCTTTCTAAAACAGGCAGGGCAGGGATTATAAAGGGCTATTCACACAATGTCTTCCCAAGTTTTACTGGATCCCTCATAATTCTCCTACTAGAAAGACCCTGGGTACTTTTATTACTTTTTTTTTCAGTGCTCTCTCATCATTCCTGTCCTCATACTGCTGTCTGTCCTTCACTCATTTGCTGATGTCTGTCTTTGTCTCTTTTTTTACCATGTGCTATTCCCTTGAAAAATTACTTTATTGACTCCTAATAATTACTTTTTCCACCTTCTCTGTCTCCCAAAAAAGCTGAAGAGAAGTCCCTGGGGAGAAATGGAAATTAATGGTAAACTCTAATCCAATATATCTGAAGAGCAAAAATATTATGGAATTAAAAAAAAAAAAATCAAAGAGCTTGAGTTCAGGTTCTAGTGGGACAAAAGAGACCAACGAAGTGCCTTTCTAATGTCATGACACAATCTCTACAAGGTCCTTTAAATTCAAGGGAGAAATCTGGGATACTTGCTGTCCCTGAAGCAGACTGGCCTTTTGAAGTAACAAAAGTGAAAAAAAAAAATAATTTCCTTTACCTGCTGGACAACCAAACATCTATGTCATGGTAAGAAAATTATTCTAGGCACACAATTAAACAGACTCAGCACCAATTTATATTTCACAACATAGAAGCAAATACATTTTTCTTCAAGTGAATAATAATCAGCACTTATTCCTAGAAAGTATATAATAAGTGTTTTGTTAGGTTATGCTGAGGACTGGAAATAGTACTGGTGAGGGTGCTCTCTGCTGACACTGAACACTTAGTAATGGAAAGCTAACTGTTACCTAAAACACAGGCTATATGTAAGGCCAATCAAGAATCTGAATTACAGAGATTATAAATCGTTCACCTGAGTCTAAATATAAACTAATTCTAGGGCTTACTGGCTAGATATTTCACCCTATGTGATTATGTATGTGTGAGCTGACTTGCAGTGACTCTAAGAAAAACAGCAGAAGAAACAGTACTTTGGGGCTTGAATGCTCGCTGCAAGAATCTGTGAACAGAGAAATCATTTTATTCCTATTGTATTCATGGAAATGGGGCTGTGGGTCTGGTTTTATTAGTAATGAAACAAACAACTGCCTTAAAAAAAATACGCAACTGTTCTCAGTTTCTCATGGTAACATTATGCAAAAGCCTGAAAACTCCCCAAGTCAAAAAGGAGTAACATGATACAAAAGCATGATAAATCCTGCTGTTTATTCTGCATCACTTTTCCTGCATGTATCCTTCACCCAGGCACTTAACTACTGATGATAATTAAGTTTTGCTTTATGGAGTTATACTGTGTCACCTTTACAGTTTACAGTAAAAGTTCATATATTTCGAAATTAGAATTTTGCCTAATCTTATCTGTTCGTACATACAAAATTAAAGAATGCCTCTCCTTTCTCTCTAGGTGGAAAGACAGAGCAGTCATTCATTCACACAGACTAGTTAAAAACACATGCCATTACCTAGGAAAAAACAAAGGCAGAACTACAATTTCTCTATGTTTTCATGAGTAGTAAAGACCCTTTGATTGGTAAGAGAGATGGAACTCAGACTTACTGTGCATTTGTTCGGCTTCTCTCCTGAGTGGACTCTCATGTGAATCAGCAGTTTATAGCGGGCATTAAATGGCTTGTACCTTCTTGGGCACCCCGCCCAGAAGCAAGTGAAGTCTTCTCCCTTCCTCTGGTCTATATGGATCTTCTCTATATGCTGCACAAGTTCCTCTTGCTGGTCGTAAAGTGCACTGCAGTCAACCCAGCGACAGCCATGCTTATCATTGAGATAATCTAGTTCACCATCTTCATCAAGCAGGGAGCCTGGAGCAGAAGGAGGCACAGGCAGCGAGTGAATGCGACTGGGAACGCTGTACGGATGCCAGTGCTGGTGAGCATGGTATGGTGGAGGTGGGCCCTGTGGAGGAGGCAGCGGCAGCAGGCCTGAACAATGCACGTCAACTGTACAGCCTGAGAAGTCACCCAGCTGTTGGTTTTTCAGGACGCCCACTGCCTGGTTGTCCGCAGGCAGCACTCCCTGCTGGATCACCATGTTACTCGTGGCAGCCATCTGCAAGCTGGCTTGCTCCAGCTGCTGCATCCGCTGGTACTCACCAGCCCCATTCTCAGCATGCCCTGGGAAGGTGACATTGCCGTTAGCCATGAGAAGGCCTTTCTGGGTAGTTGGAACAGAGCAGTTTTGGGGTATACAGCTTCCTCTCACTCCCAAAAAATGTCCATAGACTTCAGGCTGTGGGGACACATTTGCTGGTGATGTCCTAGAGCTGTTTGTGTAGGCCACTAGAGAGGTTGGGGATGTACGGATGATTGTATTGAAGTCAATCCCACTGCCCTCAGACAGAGGAGACAGAGAAAGTGCTCTCACTTTGGAGCAGCCTGACTGGGACCGGGCAGAGGAACGGCAAGGACTGGAGTGAGGGGAATGCTTATTTTCCATGCCACATAAGATGCCATTACTGGACACAGATGTTCCAAATGAAAAACTCAATAAATCCCCAAACTCACTGCTGTTCTGTAAACCTTGGTCAGGAGGAACAGAAGGAAGTGTCCTGTACCCATGCAGCCACTCTTCCTTAACACTTAAGGTGGACTGACTTTCTGACAGGCTTAATGTTGTAGAAGCCAGAGACTCGTGTGACAAGACCAACCTGGAATAAAGGCACAACAAAATAAGTGAGTAGTTAGACAATTCAGCAGTAGTTCTTCTACCTTCACACACACATAAAATTAAAGAAATGCTACATGTGAGAAGAGCTCTCCTTAACTTTAGGTATTCAGCTTTAGTACTCCCAGCTAATGTACCAGTGGGCATACCCAAGTGTAACAGGGTCACTTAGGAAACCAACTTTAAAACATCCAGCTCTGGAAGAAAAGTTGCTCTAAATGCTCTTGATACATCACTGCAGAAATCACTGCAAATTTTTTGTTCAGCTCTGCTGTAAGTAGGTTTGGGCTTCTGATGCCAAAACATTATGCTCCTGTCTTGCACGAAACATTGGTTTGAGATGACTATTATTTTTGCTGGCAAAGAACAGGAAAAAAAACAATTAATAAAGAACAAATATTTAACCTGAATGACTTCACCAACTGTAATGCATACAAATAGTATTCTCTACAGAAACAGCTCGTTTATAAACACAGATAATATCTAACTTTACAAAATAAACAAAATAAATGCATAATGTAGAAGAACTGGTTTAAAGGGTTTATTTAGGTTTGATTATGTATCTGCACCCTAATCAGCAGTCAAAATTTTTCACAGAAGTGTAATCTTGCTGTTATCATCTGTTTTTCACAGAAATATTATGAAACTTGTTTATGGTGCATATGTCCTATGGGTAACTTAAAAAAAAGAATTCCTAAGCTCTTAGCAATATTGTTTTCTACAGAAAGGTATGAAAAGGAAGCACATCAGAGTCCCTGATTCATGCCTGCAAATGCTGGGTAGAGATCAAGTGGATTTATGTCTTAATGCTTCCAGTTCACATCTTAGCAGATTTGAATTACCTGCCATTCAGTGGTGCTATCACTATATTGATTTCTGTTTTTAAGTGGCTATAACAATAGGAAGAACTGGGTATGTATCTAGATAAATCTGGAGATCTCGCAGACACAGAATCCTCTGCATCTTATGCTTTAGGGTTTAATTTCTGGGTTTATTATTTTCACAATACACTTTTGAAGAAGCACAGAATTTCAACGATGGGTCAAGTACATAAGAAATTTGGTTTCTCTTCAAAATCTAAAATGTATTTCTTCAAGTGGACAAGTCAATCACTGCTTCTCAGCTTCTCACATGAAAAACAAGATACACGGTAGGTCCTCCTGTCATACAAAGACTTCATGAGGTGAAAAAAACTAAAAGGAAAGAGAGCTAGTACGTGCAAACAGGTATCTTAAATATCAGCTGTTGAAAAATACTTACGTTCTAAGTAAACAGTACCTGAAATATTTATATGCAATAATCCAAAGGAACTGTCATGTAGGCAAGGAATAGTGTATTCTTATTTACAAAGGTACATTCATACATTCAGTTATTTGCAATTATTTTACTGTGTGGTTTTATACTGCTACAAACTTCGAATTTCTAAGAAAGAAAGTATGCACCATAAAGAAAATCAATAAAACCGAATCTCATCTCTGTCTTGGTACAGCAACCGTTAAGGCAAGCACCTTTGAGGAGGAACTTCTATCTATTTTTCTTGCTTCTTTTTTTTTTTTTTTTTAATAGGGAAGCAAGGTTTGATATCAACTCAGGGTAAGTCACATCTCACTTGCTTCCAAGTTCTGCAAGATCTTCTTATAGACAGTGCTTCAGGAAACACAGACATGTTAAGGCTCACAGTTGAACTGCATGTCTGCATCACAGTCCTGCAACACTGACCTGTTCAGCGTAGCTTCAGTGGAGATACATAGAACTACTTCATTTAAGAACTGGTGGTCAGCCAAAACTAGGCATCTGAATCCCGTTTAAAACACTACCAGTCAACCCAAGAGGGCAAGGACAGATCCTAAGCTCTGGAGATATTCCCAGTGAATATGGCAATATTTATCAAATTTCCATGATTATACTTGATAAATTGACTTTTCACCTCTGGGACCTGTCAGTTATCTTCCAATTAGATCAGCAAGGCTGAAAGAATGTATGAAAACAGCACATGCAGTGATTCAGTCATTCAGGTAAATGTATATAGCTTTCCAAACTCCATTCTCAACTCAGAGGTTAAAGCTGAACCATCACAGCGTATTATCTTATTCAGCCCACCACAAAAGCACTCCTTGAGTGATGAGGTTTTTTAACTCCTACTTAATATTGCAGTGTTTTCCAGCCCTGCAGAGCCGATCAACACCAAGAAAGAAGTGTCACTTTGCAGTGACCTTGTATTTAAGGGGTTTAAGGGCTGGATCACGCTGCAAAAAACACAGGCCAGTCATTGCCAAAGAGCTGCAGGAGGGGAATTTGTGCTCAGGGCACCATGGTTGCCCCCTCAACCCCTTTTTGTCTAGAGGGGTAGCTTAGCACAAGCTGAGGTAGAGAAGAAGCAGTTTGCAGGTGCTATGTCTGTGCACCGAGAGAGATCACAAACAGCAAAAATGTAGCTTTAAGTATCACCCAGCCTTGCTGCAGTGACCTGTGGGATGCATGGGTAAAAGCTCCTTTGCTCCAGATGCTTGCTTTGTAATGCATGATTGATTTTCTGTATTAGAGTAAGAATCAATCCTGTGCAGATTATATATCAGTAAAGGGTACTGTTATGGAGGTTATGTTACTCCATCAGGGTTTAAAGGGCACTTTCAAAACAGAGCACTGAAGAAAAGCACAATTAACATGCTGATTATTATTTGCATTGAGAAAAATGAGAAAAATTGGATTGCTATATCAGGTCAATCTTGTGTTAGATTTAGAACTAAAGGGATAATTACTTGTGAAAAAAGAAAAAATGATTCAGGCTGTTGGGTCTGTTATCAATGGCCTTTGTTAAAGCACAGCTCATTATAGGGCAGTTAAATCTTATCAGCATGCTGTGACTCCAAACACAAATCTACAGTATTCAACAGAGCAAGAAAACTAAGTCAGGTTTGATTTCTCTATGCTAGCTAGCATGTATTAGGTAGCTCTCTCAAGCTTCTAAATTCAAAAGTAACAAAGATTCCAACTCCCAAAATAAAAAAAAAAAAAAACCAACAAAAAAAACCCAGGCTATACTGTGCATAAGTAGTTTTCTGGGGAAAAATAAATATCCTCAGTATGAAAATGAAGGGCCACCTATGCCACTCTGCCAGATTCTCAGATGGTATCAGTTGGCATGTCTGCATATTATTATCTAAACATCTTGAGTTTGGGCCAGATCTTCTATGAACACTTCCAAGAGATTCCTGCAATTACTTTCTATTCTCTCTCTGTCTACAGAGGCCACAGTGCCAAGTATAACCCAGAATCTTAATTTTCACTGTTTCAATTTCTGTTTACGTTTTCTTATCTTTTTGCATGGTCTTCTGCTTCACTAGCTAAGAACTCTTTGCTCTCTCCTAGGTCCTTTTCTGACTTGCATCCCGGGTTACATGTGGTTTCAAGCAGCCTAACTGAATACTCTGGAAAAGTTGTGGGAAAATCTCAAAAAAGATGGGGAAGTTTTTATACCTTATGGTATATGTACCAAAATCTGGCATCATCTGCAGCAAAACTCCAATTTTTTCTTTCTTCCATCGGTAAAAATCAAGACAAGTTATTTTGGTGGGGGTTAATTCAGCAAATAATCTGGTTTGGATTGAGCTGCCAGAGCACGATCCATGATAGATACAGAATCCAGAGAAGGCAGTCAGCCCATAAGGGATTATAGAGTCATCTTAGGGAAACAGTTTAGGCCAATGCAGTTTATTGCTGCTGGAAGCATCAAGGATATTCTAAAACCAAAAAAAAAAAAAAAAAAAAAGAGCACGTTTCAACAATGTGTGAATTAAAAAATTAAAATCTGACTTTAAACTTGTTTTGCCCTATAAAATAGTCATTTTGAGGGCAAAATTGCTGAAATGGACATTCTTTGTGTCACAAACTGATTTTATAACATCTTCATTGATAAATCATTAAAAGAGACTCTAGGGACACTAGAGCCTTGATTCTGCTAAAGTTTCAACTTCAGTTCACCCTTAGTAAATGTTTCTTTAAAATAAAAACAAAAATGTATAACTCAGTACTAACATAGTACACTCAACCACACATTTAGGAAAAATAACATAACATTGGAACCATACAAGCACACCTAAAACTAATTAAATAATATTTACTTAATGATATTTTTATATCATCAGTTATGTTTTGTCTCAAATGCATATCTCTGGATTTTTTATCTGCCAACATCTTAGCACTGAATAGTTTTCCCTGACATGTTTACACAGGGAGAATAGTTAATTTTGTAAATTGCCCTGGAGGTCTTCACAACTGAAGTGACAGAAATGTCACAGACTATCTTATAGTAGAGTAAGGCAAGGATTTCTCCCAGCTACATAATACAAATTTGTATTATTTCAAGAATGTTCCTTGGTTTATAAAAAAATAGTAAAATGAAAACTGTTTTGAGAGTAATGACTCCTGTAAATAAGAGTGGCCTTTTGTAAACAAGAACAGTTATGTTTTAACTCAGTAGGCAACTGTTGCAGAAGTCACACCTATGAAAGCTGGAACGTACCTTCTGAAATCACTTTTCTCACCGTATGTTTAACTAATATCCAGGGATGTGCTTAGTATGTTTGTATGGAGATTATATGTCAAATAACTATTTTCCCTTTAATCATGTTTGTCAACAATACTCATAGCCATAATCTAAAAAGTTATCTGAGCATTGAAAAATTAAATAAGAAGTATTTGTCTGTGGTTTAGTGATATAAAAAGGCAACATTTGTCAGAAGAGGTCATAGTTGTTATCAAACTACACACCTGAGCTAGGAAAATGGACAGATTTTCAAGGGCACAAGTCTAACACAGATGAAGTTAACTGCTGGCTTAGTGCGGAAGGGGAACCATTGTTCTGATTAACTTAATCATGTAAACAATTAAACAACTTGAAAGCAAAGGTATTTGATGAGGAGAGATGAACATTAGCAGGGCATTTAAGTTTACTTTGTCAGACATTAGTGTTATTTGACAGGTATCAACATAACACTATTAGCACTATGACAAGTTTACAACAGGTCACTGCCTCCAAAGATGTAACATGGACCATTTCTGCCTTCATCTTCCATAACATTTCCTGTCCTTAGTGCAAAAATATAGTTAAGTAACTATAAAAATCTTCAGCTAACAAAGAAGCCCTACAAAACATGCCAAATGTGTGTCCAAAGTCCACCCATTATATGACTGATCCAAACAGTATGATTACAGTTGATGTGAATTAAATTGCATTGAATTAAATTTCCTGTGGCATAACAGAGCAACATTTTTTCCCGTTTGAAGCACCAAAAAGATTGCATTTAAATTACAGGAGAATTAAAACGTCATCTTTTTAAAGTACAGAATAAAAAAATAGCTTACAACCTTCCATCTGATGATGAAGCGCTCAAGTTGGAAGCATCCATAGATCTCTGTAAGGTAGGGCTGATCTTGCTGCATGCTAACAAAACTGGAGTAGCAGGAGGTGAAACAGGTCCCAGCTGTTGAACTGTCATTGGACTGCTGCTGACTTTTACACTGTTGCAGCTTCCTTTCCCAACAGACTTGCACCGGGGTCCGGAAGGATGACCTCCTAAGGATAAACAAGGTAGGTTAGCATATGTCTCCCACAAACCCCCGATAAGGTCGCAGAACTCGCATCACTTTGCAAAGTCGGAAAAGTGACTAGAACTGATTATCTTCAGATGAGGATGAAACAGAGGACCAATACAAGGATTTTGCAAACTTCTCCAAACACAGAAAGCAATATTCTAAAGGGGGAATCTATAAATTATGCATTTCTAAAACATGTTCTGAAATACATAAACTAAAGGCCAGGCATCCTAGATAAGCATCAGAAAAAAAACACCGCTGGAAGAGTCCAGATAACAGAGCAGCCTTCTGCTGAGGGACAGTCAAACTAGAAGCACACCTAGTTCTCTGAAGAAGGCAGGACGAAGGAACCCAGTGAGGCTGAAGGAACACCACTGTGCCTTGAATCCTACCAAACCTCACAGCTACAAGCCACTGCAAGCCCTTCCACCATCCCAATCACTAGGCATCAAAAAGCAAGTGGACCAGGCAAATTGTAAGCCCTGCAGCAGTTCTGGTGTGGCAACGTGCATGGGCTGCACCGCTCCCCTGGCAGGAGGCGGTTACAGCTGGACCCAGCATTCCTCAGAGAACAGGGAAGAGGAATTTGAGCTGGATCAAGCAGAGAAGGATTCTGGACTTCCTTCAAAAGGCCACAATCGGCTCTTAATCACTGCTGCCATGACTCAGACTGATAACTATTACACAGTAGCATGAGATGATTACAGAGGTAGCTGGCAAGTGGGACATATCTGCAAAATGCTCTGTATACTTTGTGATTTAGGTCACGGATGGTGATTTACAAGATAAATGGTGGGTTTTTACATTAAAATACGTCAGGATAAAAAAAAAAAATGTAGGTCATCATATTTAAGTTGTTGGATATCTAGCAAATTCTCATAACAGTTGGAAATTAATAATTAGATGATTCACATTTCTGTCTTCTTCCCCATGTTCAGAATACTCTCAGATAGCATAGTACTATCAGGACAAACGGTGAAAGGTACTTCAGTTTAAATAATTTTCTAAATTAAATCTACTTTTGACTTAGTCATATAACTCACATACTAGTATTTCTCAACTATATTCAGATGGGTTGTGAACTTCAAAAAGTACATTAAGGCATTTATTGCAGTCATAGTCACAGGAAGAAAATCCAAATCCTTCAATCTTCTCCAGATCAAATAGGATTATCTTTAAAATTTGCAGCTCACCCTAGACATTTTAAATTATAGCTTTACTTCAAAGAGAAAAACAGAGTTATTCCTGTTTCAGAGGTCTATGCCTGCTTAAATTATTCTTCTCTTCAACTAATTAGTAACAACTTACATACGTGTGAGAAGCACAGACATAAATTCTCAGTCCATTGGGATCCTAAGTGCTTTGTAAATTCATGTTGCAAGCTGGTTGCATGATCCATCACCAAAATGTACTCTTTGGGATGAAATATGGCAGCCCTTAAAGAAAAATAACCTACCATTGCTACTACCTCGAAATATAAGTCAACAATGTAGGATCTGGCTGAAAACTCAAGGGTAAGGAAAGAAGAGGACATTTTATAACCCATGTTGAAATGTAGCTAGAAGGACTGGAAATTTACAAGGACGAACATGGAAGGACAATTCCTTGTGCTGCACTCAACTCCATTCTGGGTACCAGAAAGAAAGCTTTTAAGGTTTGTAGGATTACTATCTACTCTCACTAAAAAATGCCCAATTAAATAAAAAGAATAAGCCAGGAAACATTTTGCATTTTTGAACTTACTAAAGGTGAATCAGTGTGCTACTCAGCAGTTACGTTTATAATGTTACAGAGAGCTAAAATGGAACCATCTCCAAAAATTAGACAAAAAGCATAATTTGCCCCTGTTAGTAATATGAATGCTACTTGTCTTAGCAGAAGGCTGGGAGGAGTGAAGTTAAAAATGTATATTACATATGTACAGCACATAAAATACATAATGATACATAACATGCCTACATGTGTGGGCATATTACACACATTCAGTCAGCTATTTTTTAAAAAAGCATCTTTAGTATGTGGAATGAAAGGTTTTCTTCACCAAAGGATATAAAAGCCAAGGAAGCATGATATAATAAGAAATCCAACTGGTTTTGACACTGAAACACAGATGTAATCCTTGAAAAGCCTATCTATATTGACTGCTTCACAAGATATAAATGTATTATTTTGTATTGAGAAAAGCTCTACCACAAAAATGTATCAAATATTCTTCCCTGGATGAAACCGTAATGCCCTTCACTCGTAAGCTACTTTCTACAAATTTCAATGGAAACAGTAACATCTACTTTATCATATCCAGGAAATAAAGGGCTGTGTACTTGTAAGATTTTCATTTAGGGACAGGTCATACATTGGTTCAAATAAAAATCTGCAACCATACAGTGAAAGTGATGTTTACACATGATTAAACCTGAGCTGCCTGGAACTTACATGTCAGGAAAAAAAAAAAAAAAAAAATTCAAAAGCAAAACCAGAAAAGGGAGTAGTGTCAAACCAGTACTGTTAAATACAGGTAATATTGTTGTGTCCTCAACACATCCTGGCTTCCCTTTCAGTTACAGAGTCTGTTTTTATTATCTGTGCATAAACAGTACTTCAGTGATGCTGAGAACAGCTAAGAGAATTTGCTGTGTAAGGATAAAGAAGGCCAAAGATGGTCTGGTGACTGACAGGAAAAGCTCAGGAAAGGAGTATGTCAGAGAGATTGTATTAATGGGATGACAGACAAAAGTAATGGAAGAAGTGCAAGGGAAAGGTTTTATTTCTGTTCATCATTGATAAACATTTGCTGTTCTGGGGGAAAATAACAGTTCTGCTTAAAAGGCTGGGGGGCAGAGAAATATCAAAAAAAGAATTTAACATCAGCTCCCACTGTTGAAAGAGACCGAGTACAAGACTACTGCTATGAAAAGCAAAGTCATAATATTTTACCCACTGTTTCATACAGGTATAAATGTGCCAGAAGACCATTGTTAATATTTTGTCTGTTCCCTGCAGGTCACTAAGCAATATTAATTTGATCTGAATCTGAGCATACAACTGCATGTCCCTGAGCTAAGTCAAAGCACCAGATAGGAAGTTTATGCTGACTTTGAGCCAGCTGCTGGAGTACAGACCGCATCACATCTAGCATAAAGTTAAATGGGTGCAACATGGACATCTGACCTGGCATGAGCCTGCTGCTGGAAGTCAAGCTGGCAGCAAATGCTTTCAAAAGTGTTGAATAAACCTGAAGGGGAAGAATGGCTATGTCCCAGCTTTTGGCATCATCTACCCACAGTGCAAGAGGCGCCCTCAGTACAGGTCTGCTGTATCATTGACCCAAAGCCTGAAAATTTCAGACAGTCAGGAATTCCTTAATGTCTTGAACCCACATCAACTGAGATAAATGGGAACCACTTTGGATGATATTGGTGTGTTTCAAATGAGGCTGTAGATTCTACGAAAATACATAGATCTAATATTTTAAATGAGCAAGACAAGCAATCCCTTCTCTTATGTACTAAGATATAAATCTGGAGATAGTCCAATAAAGGCAACAGTAGCTGAGGACATGGAATCTGTCCTGAAGTGGCTCACAGGAAGAGCTACAGTTGCTTAGCGTGTAATTTATTCCAAATAAACATATTACAGATAAATCAAAGCTGTTTTTATCAGTAACTAACAGTAATAGTTAACAAGTCTAAACAGTAAAGATATTTTATGGAAATATTTTAATCTGTGCACTTCCTCATTCATTAGTTTGCCTGTTTATTCTCTATAGCTGGTTAATAGCTAAGCTTCAGTCAACCCTGACACGCAGAAAAATTTCACTTCAGTCTTCTGAAGAACATTCAAAGAATGCATAAAAATACAACTATTTTAGTTCAGTTGCACTAAACTCCAGATGAGACTCTCTTAATTTTTATTACTCACACTTTTTGGAAGCAGAGTCCAATATGAAACGATTTCCATTTAAACACATTTTCTTTTATTGGATTGATAAATTGATATTGATTGAAAACTCTCTTTAAGTGCATTAAACTGGAGCTTCAAGGGGGAAACAAAAGAATAGGGAGGAGATGGCCACTTGCTTGTATAAGTGTAGGATCAGACCAAATCTTTCTCTATTTGGGAATCTGGGCTTCTTCACACTGGTACCATCCTCTGAGCCCAAGTCTTTTTTGGAAGGCCTTAAGGCTTTTAGATTAACTACACAAAAATTCAATCAAAATTACGTTATGTACGAGCAATTCTTGTATGGGATGCAACCAACAATTTTCCAGGGTACAACTAAATTACTAAATTATGGCTCAAAAAGCTGCCAAATTATGATTTTTGTTGCAAGTCTTATGAAATACAGTACCTTCTCAACTACACAGCACCCCACAGCCATGACATGTGAGTGAAACAGTGGCTGATTCTTGGCCTTTATTTCCTTAAAAAGGAAAAATTTTAAAAAATCAAGATTTAGTAGTTAGAAATAAAATTCTGAAAATGAGATCCTAAAACTTCACTGTTTTTAACCTCATGGTTATGATCTTAGCTCATTATTTTCTTAACACTTACAACAGCAGTGCCTTGTTAGTAAGAATTTCCCTCCAAAGCCTCTGGCAGTGTCCATTCTGAACAGCGAGTTAGACAGACCATTAATCTGACTAGTATTGGCAATTCCCATGTTCTTAACTGTTTGCAGAGACTTAATCTTCAAAATCAAGAAAAATAATCTGGAGGCAATACACTATACAGAATCATATGATCACATTGTATTATGAGAAAATATTACGTATGCAATTTAAAAGCTCTCCTTGCTTTGAATCTTGGAAAGGCAATTTCTCCACTATCCCAGTGCACTTGGTAAATTAGCTTGTACTGATTTCCAATGCTATTTGCCATTCATTGTATGAAGTAATCAAGCATGTGTTTTCAGCAACTCTACCGTGAGACAAAAGAGACTGACAAAGCACAATGAAAAACA